TAGATATTAAATATTTTTTAATAATCAGATAGAAGTACTGACTGGTAGAATATAAATTGAGATCATTAATTCTGAAGACTACTTAGTCATCAGAAATCATTTACCACTTAAGACTATAGCTTTGGGAAGAAAAAAGCCCTTTACCTCTTAAGACTATAGCTTTGGGGCTGATGCTAAGAAAAGCTCAGATAATACAGAATATACAGATATAGTTCAGACATAGTTTAGATGAACTTTTGAATACTGAATAAAATATCTAAGGTAGAAATTGGTTTCTAAAATTTACTGGGCATTTTGTAAAATCATGATTTCTTGTATCTACTGATTTGCCCTGCTTAAAGATAATCCAAAGTAAGATACTTAGGAGTAAACATATTATCTTAAAATCATGATCTTTACTTATGTAACTTTTAGGGGGACATATTCAGTGTATATAGTGAGTTATAGTGAGTCACAACTCTAATGCTGTTTCTTCATTTTTACAGCATAAAGAGTGAATATTTGTTATCCTAGTCCGTATCCAAACTTTTATCCATATATAAAACCCTGCTGGATTTACCTGAAAGTTAATAAGTAAACATTGCTTTTAAGATTAAATAAGTGGAAAGCAGGTACAGGGAGCGGTAATGTCAATGGCCCAAAATAAATTTGGAAACTTATGTAGGAACGAAATCATGAAGGGCCTTTTCTAATCAATTGTATTAGTTTTCTGCTGCTGTAACGAATTGCCATAAACTTAGTGGCTTGAAACAATATATACTTATCATGTTATAGTTTGTATGTGTCAAAAGTGTGGGCCCAGGATGGCTCAGCTGGGTTCTCTGCTGAGGGGAGCCAAAATTTTGCCTACCACAATTATGTTAAAGAGTTAGGGCTTTATTCTGATGGGTCTTGAGTGATTTTAAGTAGAGGAGTGTTGTAGTCAAATTTGTGTTTTATGACAATGTCTTTGGCTGTGATATAGACAAGGGTCAATTGGGGACCACCCTGAAGTCTTGGGAAACCATTTGAAAGAGTATCATTTGAAATTCAGTTATAGATAACAGAAGCCACAAACTAGCTATTTTAAGAAGAAAGGGATTTCATACAGGGAATAGGTGCTTACAAAATCTTTGGAAGGGCTGCCTCCCTAGGATTATCCCTAGAGCAGTACCGGAGAACTAGCCCACCAAGGGTACTGCTACCTCTGCTAGCATCAGATAAGGGGAGACTCAGGAAGCTGCTGTCCCTGGTGCTGGATCACACCACCTTAGCTGTGATCTGGAGATCAAGCAAGCTGCTGCCAAGGGTGTTGACTCCAGGAACACACTACTTGAACCACAATCTGGTAATTAGGAAGCCTCTACCCAAGCTGTTCCCACTCCATGTCTGCTAAATCCACTATGTCTCTCCCCAGGGCTGTTGAATGAGATTGATGGTAGTTAAATCTTACCTGCAAAGGAGTGTGGTAAATGTAGTTTTCAGCTTTGCAGCACAGAAAGGCATTCTAGGAGGAGGCTGAAACAAATATTGAGGAAAATTACCCAGCTTATGCATCCAAAGAAAGCTGTAGCAATCCAGGTTATTAACGATAGTGGCTTGAATTTACAAGACAGGTGGGCAAGAGAGATGAAGGTAGATTCATGAAATGTTTAGGAATAGAATTAGTACGACACGGCAAGTGATTGAATGGGAGAAGTGGAGAGGAGAGATAGGAAGGAATCGGGATGACTATTCAGTTCCTGGTGCCATTTGCTGAGATAAGGAAGACTAGAAGAGAAGATGGTTGGGGAGTAGCAATGAATTATTTCTGGACATGTTGATTTTGAGAAAACTATAAGACCTTTTAGAGTGTCCTAATTTATAGGTCATTTAATTTGTAGATAGACTTGACCAACTGCAGACTAGTTTCTGCACAGGGACCATATTTTGTGTAAAAATATGTTTGTGCTTGAGATAAATTCAGTTGACTATAGTGTCAAGTATAAATAAGTCTAGGATCATACAGTTATTATTTTAAGTTTTAGTTTTATAGTTAACTAGATTCAGGGCTTAACACTAGTTCTTTAATCCCATTGTTGAGTAGTGTTTTTCTTTTTCAGAAGGACTCATGGGTGCCCTGTTCCCTAAGTTCTTGTTTCAGAATATTTGCTTGTTAAATTTATTTCTGAAAAAACTTGGTGAGGTATAATATTCCTGGGTCATACTTCCTAATTTACTTATTCGGTAGGTAATGTGTTATTTTGCTCCTGTTTCTTTCACCGGTGCTGAAATCTCCCTTTTCATCTCATTCTGCTGTTTATCATTTACCTCTGAGCTCCTGTTTTATTATATTTATGCACTTATTAATTTCTAGACCTTAGAGTATTTGTGGGGCATTTTCTTTTCATTCAATTATGTTTTCTTTCAGATTGAGTTCTGCCTCTGCCTTTTACTTAATGTGTTTCTCTCTTTTATTCCTTTTGCAGTGGTATGTGCTTAGTTGCCATTTTGTGTCTTATATTCTTGCTTATGTATAAAAGTGGATACCTCTATCTACACCATCTCTTTACTGAAACATAGTATAAGTAAACTCCTTGACCCCTTTGCCATTGTTCCTTTTGTCCCTCCTGGGCAGAGCTTGAGAGCCTGGGGTATTACAATTCTGTCTCCTTTTCTGTAGTCTGAAGGGAAAATATCCGTAGAATTGGGTTCAGCTTATTTGACCCCTAGGTTCTGCTGTCTTTTCCAAGATTTTATTAAATTATCATAACCTACTTTCACTGACTTAAAGGCATATGCTAGGAGATTGGGTGAAGGAAAGATACCTTTGGACTTTGAATCATTTCACTTTTTCAGTTTGCAGCCTTGGAAAATTTCAAGGCCTGGTAGTTTTGTTTTTTGTTTGTGTGGACTGTTTTGTTTCGTTTGCCATTGCTAAGATCCTGACATCCTGGCAGTGGGATGTAGAGACTTCTGATCCCTAAGGTGTTTCCTCAGTCTTCCTCCCAGATGACTCCTTACCCCCCAGCCCAGTTTGCTCTAAATTAGGAAGTATTGGTCAGTACGCTCAGGATTTTGTTTCCTTACCTTCTTTCTGCATAATGGCTTCTGGGGGGTGAGTTAGGACCCTTGCTTAACAGAACCACATGGTACAGAGCTTTTGGTTCCTTTTAAAAGGTTATGGCAATAAGGCAGTTTCCTCTTTTCCTGTATTAGTTGCTGCCGGTAATATTTTACCCTTTTAAAAGAATACCATTTGGGGCTCAAGTCGTGGGAGAAGACAATTCTATAATCTTTTTCATCGTACCATCACCTTTTCCAAGAAGTCCTACCTAAGAAGATTTCAATCATATATTTTCTTAGTGGTGTGTGCGTTTTAATAATGTAAGTCCCAGACAGCAGGAATGTAATGTTAATCCTTTTTATTTGCATATGAACTTAGAACTTACAAAGTGCTTGCTCATCTGTTATTTTATATGATTCTTATGACTGTCTTACAAGGTAGGAAGGGCAGACTTATTATCCCAGTTTTACTAGTGAGAAATCTGAGATCCAAAAGGATTGAGTGAGTTGGTAAGCCACACAGCTAATTATAAGATGGAGTCAAGACTCTGAAGTCAGGTCTTCTGACTCCAAGGCCAGTGCTACTTTACCATACCTGCTACTCCCTTTCATGGACATGATTACTTCCATCCCTGACCACAGATGTCTTACTACAGCTTCCGTGCTCCTACCAACCTTATTATAACACTGATTTAACCGAATCAAAGCCAGTAGGGTGGGGAACGTGGTGGGGGTAATCTTATGACCATTGTATTCTGATCCCGAATTAACCTCAGTATATCTTGGTTATAATAAAGCTAATATTAGACTTTTTCAGCATTTTCCCCCTCTCTGGATTGTAGGAAACTGCTTAGCTTTCTCAATGAAATCAAACCTAGATCCTCCAAGGCTGGCAGCGGAGGCAAGATTTTCCACATGGGAAACTTGTCCTCCTGGGCCCTAGTCTCACCTCTATAATTCACTTCCCTCTTGGTGTCTTTGGCTGTTTATTCCTGCCTTGATCAAGGAACTTGTGTCCCTCATTTACCACTTCTTTACAAGAGCGTATTCTTGACTCTTCCACAAATTCCTTGTGTTACAGTCGACTAGGCTAGGCTGGAACATTCAACAAAGCATCACTGAAAAAGCTGAGTTAACAGCTAACATATAACTAGATGTTTTTGTTTGTAACTTATGCCTTCCCCAGGGGTCGGAAACTGCTGGTCTACGTCCATCTTCCCATCTGTTACCAAGGAACACGTGCTTAGGTATCTGCCTGCCTTGATGCTGGTGCCCAAGCAAGCAGGCTCCACAGAGTGATTAGACTCCTCTCTATAATCTTTGTAGTGTCTACTTTTTTTCTAGGTTCTCCTCTCCTTTCTAAGCTGATTCTTATATAAAGATTAGCAGCAGGCATGTTGGCCATCTTTAGGAGAGACTCTTCCCAGATACACAAGAACGGGGTTTTACTGTGGCCTCAAAAGGGCAACGATTTCAGGGCTTCCCTGGTGGCGCAATGGTTGAGAATCCGCCTGCCAATGCAGGGGACACGGGTTCGAGCCTTGGTCTGGGAGGATCCCACATGCGGTGGAGCAACTGGGCCTGTGAGCCACAGCTACTGAGCCTGCGCATCTGGAGCCTGTGCTCCACAACAAGAGAGGCCGCGACAGTGAGAGGCCTGTGCACCGCGATGAAGAGTGGCGCCCGCACGCCGCAACTAGAGAAAGCCCTAAACAAAGACCCAACACAGCCAAAACTAAAATTAATTAATTAATTAATTTTAAAAAAAAAAGGGCAACGATTTGAGATCACAGATTCCACAATAGTCACCCAATAGGTAGGTAGGCAGGTAAGTAGATATAATATTAGACTAGGATATTAGAAAGATGTTGAGAATAACAGTGTAGTTTACCTATAGTTCTGAGAAGTCAGTAGTTCATGCGCTAGTGGCTTAAGTTGTCACTGTTTTGTTTTGTTTTGTTTTTTTATCCTCCTAGGTATCATGAACTAGTCACAAAATATGGGAAGTTGGAGCCTTTGGCAGAAGTGGACCTGAGACCCCAGAGCAGTGCGAAAGTAGAAGTCCACTTTAACGACCAGGTGGAAGAAATGACCATTCGTCTGGACCAAACAGTTGCAGAACTAAAGAAACAATTAAAAACTCTAGTGCAATTACCCACTAGCAACATGCTTCTCTACTATTTTGACCATGAAGCGCCCTTTGGCCCAGAGGAAATGAAGTACAGCTCTCGAGCCTTGCATTCTTTTGGCATTAGGGATGGAGACAAAATTTTTGTGGAATCCAAAACAAAATAACCTCCGCCAGCCTTGTGAGAACACACGCATTAGGACTCGCAGGGCATTTGTTCCCATGAGGTTTCCTTCAGGAGGGAGAAGTTTGCTCTGTTTTGTTTTATTTTGTTTTGTTTTGATTTGTTTTGTTTAGGTTTCAGGGGGGTTTTGTATATTTCCCCCTAGAATGGGTAGGGGGCTGTTTTTGGTATTTTCTACCACAGATTCCTTCTACTCTGCCACCAGAATTGGCCACATCTCCAGTTTCTGTGCCCTCCCTCATGAGAGGGGACTAGGCAGCCACCGACTTCTTACTGTGTTCACTGGGATCTGTCTACTGCTTGGTCCTCAGGACCACTTAGGTGTACTTGTGATGATGGCGTGAACAGCATTGTCCCCTCAGAAGAGTATCTTGCACTTAAATCAGGAAACAAGGAATCTTTCCAGGAAGGGGCAACACATCTCTCTCCCAATTCCTCCTTTTCCCCCTCCCTCTCTCTCCTTTCCTTCTTGGGTTCAGTTTTTCATTTTGACTCGTGTCCATACATGTTTACCTTAGTTTTATTCTGTCCATAATGAACTTCTTATTTTTCAACTTGAGTAACGTTTTTCTTCATTTCTCCCTTTTTAAATAATTTCAAGTGTGTCACGCATTTGTCAGCCTGATTCTGATCTCAGGTACAGTTAGAACCTATAGCTCTGTTAGGGTCTGGAAGGAGAGTAGATGGAGTGTTAGAATTCCAGGAAGCACAGGCACAGCAGCCTGATCACTCTGTATGTAACTATCTCAATTTTAATGTTCCTCCCACAGTTATATCAACCATTACTGACATGAGCTACGTCACATTCCAGAGTTCTTCGCTTTTTGCTTTTTGAATGTATTTCTTCGTATCTGTCTATCTTTTTCATTACTTTAAACTACTGGGAATGGAGGCCTGACTTTATGAAGAATCCAACAGAGCAATGGATATACGTGCCAGGAGAGCTGAGAATTAGCTAGTAAACTCTCTGTAGTGTGTATGAGGGAGTCAAGTGGGGGGAGTATGGGAGAACGAGTACTGTGACTTTCCTGCCTGTCATCATTGGAAGCTTTTGCTCTTGCACTTTGCATTCGAAGTGGGAAATTTTAATCAAAGGGAGCTTTGATTCCTAGTTTTTCCCTGGGATTTTGTGATGTCATAATTGAACAATTCTTTTTGTTTTACATTTCAGTTTAGTTGCCCCTACAGAAGAACAACTCTGACTAATCTCTGAGTAAAGTATAAGTGTCAAAACTTCAGATTTGCCTCCAAGTCATATTTTTTGCAGAAGCATATTTAAAGCACTTTCCTTTAAAAGGTAGTCCTTACCTCCTCTGAAATCTTTTTGTCTGTTCTTCTATTCCTTTGTTAATCAGTGTAATCTCTTTCTTTGATATATGTCTTTCTGGATCCACCATGTTTACAGATAGGAGACTTGAGAAGGACTTAGTGCACCTGGGGCAGAAAATGTGCACATGAAGTATTTTTCAAAGAATGTAATTGTTACCCGATTGAGTTTGACCTTTTGACCTTTGTTACATGATTCCGTCCCTCCTACAAATTCTTTAATTTCTTAGGAAATTTTTAGGTGACTCTTGTAAACTCTTCACGGATGCTACTTTTTAAATTGTCCTACGCCATGATAGCAGATGTTTATTCTCTTAATGCACTTCAGGTTCAGTATCTGTAAAGCCTTTGACCCAGGCCTGCTGAGTCAAATCTACATTCACTGTAACATTGAAAGTGGAAACCAAAGGGTTTGAGGAAGATGAATGATGCCTGTTCTCCTTTTGCTTTATCTTTCAAAATCATAAAATCATAAAAATGAGCGATGGAGATCCAGGCTGGGTATAGACAAGAATAATTATTTTGCAATCACATTTTCCTGACAGGTTTTTGGAAGTGGGAAAAAAGTGTGGCAACAGTGTCAGGAAGATTAAAACTGTGGATGCTTTGTGTACGTGTGCGTGAGTGCAGACGAGTTTGAGAGAGAAACAGTGTAACTGAGCTTTTGTCAGCCTGAGAAACAGATGCCCCCTTATTTTTTGAGGTTGTATGACCCCCGACTGTCCCACAGCAGAAAGCAGAGCAAACACTTATGCTTTAATCATCAGTGGAATGATGACAATTAATAAGATATTTTATATATGACAAAGTTTTATGAAATGCTTTTTTACTATTAGAGACCTGTTCCTTCTGCTATTACAGAACACAGTGCTCATCGACTGCAGGCATAATTCTCCGATTACACAGTTGCATGTCAGGGGAACTTCTCATTTAATTCAGTGGCCGTGGGTATTTTTAGGGCATTGTAATTGATTGTTTTAATAATTGCTAAATGATTTTTGATTGAGACAAGATCTAATGCAATTACCGGTCTTTTAGAGTTACAGAACAGAAGTAAATGAGAAAAGATATTTGAGCATGTATACATGTAGACTGATTTGGGTGGCTGAGTAAAGATGCTGCTTTTGAAATAAAATTGGTGCTGTGTAGACACTTGTAACCAAAATTATTTTTATAACAGGTCAAAAAGAAGGAGAGGAGAGACCATGGACTTTTGAGTCTACAAGTTATGCATAATTGATTGTAGCTTATCTGTATTTTAATGTTAACTTCATCCAGATTCAGTGAGAGCATATTATTGACATTCATGAGGCAAAATTCTGTCATAGCCAGTATTACAGATATGTTGCTACAGGCACAGTGTATAGAACATATCTTTTCTAAAATAGAAATTTTTTGTCAGTTCTGAAAAAGGAAAGGAGTAATAAAAGAAAGCCAGGTAAAAACTGAGGCATCATTTTCATGTGGGCATGTAGCTGCTGACACCACAGTGGAAATCAGTTTTTGAATTTGAATTTTTGAAATATCCCAGATTGCTTTAAAGAAAAAAAAAAGTTCAGAGTCATATATCTTTTTTTATTATTGAAAGTTTCTATTGTTTCTGCAACCTATCACCACCGTAGCCATAAATACATAAGAAAGCAGCAGATATTATATAACTCTTGTTCCTTTAAGACCTTTTGGTGAAAACAAGCCCAAAACATGAGCTATGTGTAACAGAGCCGAATGTTATGATGCTATGTTTTAAAAGTTTGTTTACTTAAAAAGAAAAGTTCAGTTCTAACCAGATGTTTCAGCTATGATGCTAAATCAGCAGTGTTATGAACAGGGAAGGCTTGTTGCACAAGGAACTATCACCATTTGAGGCGCGCAGGCGATAGTTTCACGAGCGCGTGTGTGAAGGTGGCTTGCTCCGTGGGAGGTGCTAGGCTCCAGGGCAAATAAAACAAGAGTACAGAGTAATAGATTGTTCTAAGCAATGTCATTTCTGTTTATGAATTTGATTTTTCCCCTCATTTCGTGTTAGATTGACATGCAAACTGCTTTCAAGAACACCCAGAAGCTCTCTGTGTTACCAGGTGTGTTGTGAACACTATTTTTCATAGGTGCTTCCTTCAAATATATGTCCATTGTAGTGATGGAGAGGGACTGGACTCTCTCAGGCTCTTTACTTGCCAGTTGTCTCCTGCAGTTCATGGAAATATATATTTTATTTTAGAATATAATTTAAACATGAAGGTCTATTCTTTGCACTTTTATTAATATATATATATAGATATATAGATAATCTTTAAAAAAAATTAAAAATCTAAAAGTCTACTTTCTCTTTGTGTTCTGATTTTTTCCTGGAGTCGTGGTGCATGTTTATTGTTATACAGCAGAAATTCAACATCAGTGCTGTGGTTGAGTCCTCTGGGGAACTGGCCTAAGCTGGTAAAAGAGTTTGACCAGCTTAACAAATTTAGTTGGCATCTTGCCAAAGTTAGAAATTAAAACCGCAAAACAAAGGTTCATAGGAAATATGTTATTGCCTTTTTGTTAGCAAAGTTTTATACTTCTAACATGCTCTTTTAAGGATGAAAACCCACCTTTGAGCTATTCGGCATCCCCGTTTTTGAGTAAGAATCTCATTTTGATGAATTAGAAATTTGCGACACTTTTTCACGTGACGTTTCTTTCCTTTGAAAAATAATTTTCTCTAAAAATTAGGGTTTGGGGCACTTGAACCGTATCTGCTTATCAGTAATTTCTTGGTAATCTGTTATGAATTAACCTTGTACCAAGACCTAAGGTCCAAGAACTATATATACTTTATTACTGTATTTAGAAGACAGACTCTATCAAATTCTTTGTCAGTGCTTCAGAAGTGTGTAAGTATCGCGATCTGTTTAAATGTAAGATTATTTCTACCTCTTATTCAAATTTCAAAAACTTATAGTTTTAACCTCTGTGCTAAGTTCCGTTTAGTATTTATTATGAGGGTCTCTGAGTTCTTGCAAGGTAGACATATGTCAAGACACCCAATACCCATTGGACTGAAAAATGCTATAACTTCCACCAGAATGCATGTAAAACAAGGAGGTTAACCCTTGAAGTCACATTTGTCTTTCCAGCTCTTCTCTGGAAAATAAGTTATCTGTGTTCTCCAACTTAGACTTAGGATTTCAGGATTCAAATTTAGCCAGATAACTTTTAAAACACATAGGTCATGATAGATATTAACATGAGTCATTTCATCTACTTTTAAGTTTTTAATGTAACTAAAATTTAGGAATTCAGTTAATACATGAAAGGGATAGCATACCATATTATATCTCCTTAAAATATAATGAATTTCTGAATCCTTTTCCTTCAAAAATTTGAGAATAACACTAAAAATGGGTAGGTTTTTTTTTTTTTGTAACAAACTGATCTCTTAAGATGTTCAGATATATATACTTGCCTAGACATATGAGTAGAAAACATGTGAACATCTTATGCCTTTCTTCAGTGTGGTTTAGGCACCTGAGCAATTTGCTTGCGTTCTGTTTTAAGGCACACATATCAAGAGGGGAGTAACAAACTCATAATCCGAGAGGGAGATGAGACAAACGCAGATAGGGTTGCTGGTCGTGTGAATCAGTGCCAGGGATCCAGGCTTATAATTTTCATGCCCGTGTTTCTTCTAAACATTAACAATGAGCGTTTATTATCAGCCAGGGCCCAATCTAGATGCTCTACCTATATTAAGCCCTTTTATGTTCACAACATCCCTATGATTCAGCACTGTTCATTATCCCCATCTTCTTACTTGTGAGGCACAGATAGGTTGAGTAACTTGCCAAAAGTCACACCGTTGATAAAAGACAGCAGAGCTAGGATTCAAACCCAAGCAGTCTGGCTGCAGTTGAGAGCTGTACTATACTACCTGCTGCTAAGGTTCTCCCATAGCCCTCCACAGTCACACCATTAATGTTAGTCTATATGTTTCACTAAAACACTAAAGTGAGATGTTCCTCCATATTCAGTTACTAAATTGATTTGCTCTATAACAAAATCACTGATGCGGCTGATAGCTCTAAATCCAAATTGAAACTTGTCCTCATGCCATTTTCAGAATTGTAACACTGTGATTGGTGTATATCCATTGTCCTCCCTGCTCTCCTGGGAGGAGCCAGATTGGACACTTGTCATGGGTGCTGTTGACAAGAAGAAGTGAACCTGCAATATGATGCTGAACACCGGTCACTTGGTCTTCAACCTGACGACATTCTAGAGCCTTAACGCTTTGTTTTCCGTGAACAACTAAAGGTGAGACAGGTCACTCAGTTTTGACTCAGACTTTTATTAAGGAGGCTTCCATGTTCAAGTGAACTTGGTGTTTATAGGGGGAGAAAAAGTAGATAATCTAATGGAGCCCATATCACAGGTTTTGTTACGGGAAAGGTTGAGGCTGTCACTGTTATTGTTCCTCTTTAAAATTCAAGACAGAGCCTTGTGAGGAATATAAATATTGCTTACAAAATAGAGGAGGCAGTTTATCTATTATGGTCTGTGAGATCTAGGTCTGCCAAAAAATTACGATGCAATTTCAGTTTACTGAGTCTTTCACAGACTCTTCACCCTTGAATGCTTCTTAGTCATTATAGGTAATACAATTAAGGTGTTAAATAAATAAGAATGGGAATAAGAGGAGGCAGACATTAAAAAATACAGTGTTTTCTGAACTACCTGATACATTTGAGGGCAGATGTAAGCCTTATTCCACTGTTAGAGAATACAACTAGGACATTATGAATTGCTTTGGTTGTGTTAAAATTTTGTTTGGTTTATAGTTCAGTTTGTTTACAAGAAGACATCTTTTAAGAACCATTTGTATTTCATTTTAAATACAAAACATTCACATGATTCAAAAATCAAACAATATAAACAAAGTATACACTGGAAAATTCTACTCTAACCCCTGTACTCCATCTTTTATTAGCTTTTTGTGTGTCTTTGCCGAGTCAACACAAATAATAGCAAATGAGAATATACTTATTGATCCCTTTTTATACAGCAAAGTTAGCATATTATATACCATCATGCACCTTGCTTTTTTTCACTTAAAATGTATCTTGGAAATCTCTCCATAGCAACATATACGAAATCACCTTACCCTTTGTTTATAATATAAGATATAGTATTCCATTTATAGATGTGGTATATAGTTTATTTGACCAACACCTCATTGATAGACATGTGAGTCTTTCGTTGTTCTCTCTCCC